CCTCTCCATTTAGCTGCTGCTGTGTCACATGAGCTGTCCAATACTTGTTGGGCGAGGGGCTGAGCTGAAGACTGATCGCTTCGGTATGCTTCCTATCCATGATGCTGTGGTGAACCATCATACCGACATCAAAGAGGTGCTCGGTCAGCTCGACCTCAAGTGTGATGATGCCATGTGTTATCTTTCCCCTGAGAGTGAGAATGCTCTCAAGGAGCAAGTGAAGAATACCAACATCTCCCTGACTCCCGAGGATTTGGAAATCAAGATGACTCAGGTCTTTTCTATCATTATGAAGGAAGGTGTCCTCGTTGCTGGTTCTCTCTGGCAGGAGATCGTCTACTACTTCACTGAGCTCGGTCTTCATCCCAGCTACTTCAAACATTTTACCAGTGCTGAGATCGCCAGGCATATCCATTGCCTTATCGCTGCTAAGAAGGTCGCTCAGGCTACCAAGTCTGACTATATCCACTTCGAGATTGAGGAAGCGGATTCGGCTTTCTATCTCACCACTATGGAGCCTGAGAAGATTGCCATCACTGATGCTAAGGTTGCTGAGTATATCAATACTGCTAAGGACTGTGGTTACACTATCACCTTCCTTAAGTCTGAGAAAGCTCCCATGTGTGGAGGTAAGTTCCCTCTCGGCATCTTTGTTGTTGAGAAGCAACAGTTCGAGTCGGGTGTTAAGTTTGAGGATATGATGGAGAAGTCCGACATTCATCTCGTGGCTACCCCAGCGTTCCTTGAGGAGAGATCTGATGAAGTACAGAAGCTCTACCAGGATCTTATCGATGAGACTATGGCTACCCGCAATACTGTTGTTAAGGTGTTCGATGCTCCTGCCAACTTGGTTCAGAAGTCCGGCGCCCAAGTGTTGCAGTTTGCTGCCTTTGATGTTGATCGTACGGGCCGAGCCTACATCTCTGAGATCAACGAATGCTTCCGTTCTCATAACGTTGAACCCAAGAGATTCTACGTGGACTCGTTCGCCAATGGTATCGTCACCTATACTTGCTTCTTCGACCCCACTTTCCAGGGTGAGGCATTGGAAAGGCTCGCGCAGACTCTTCGTTATGTGAGCCATTTCAAGCATAACCCGAGGAAGTCCGGTTTGGTTTGGGAACT